AATTCGATGGACTCAAAGAGTTTTTAAAAGTGCCATGGTTGTTTTTGACCCATTTGCTGCAGTTTTGTCTTCATTCTCCAGTGCTTTTTTCTTTGCCTTTAGAATTTCCATGGCAAAAAACTGTGCAAACTCAATACGTTCTACCAGGCAAAATTGTAGACAAAAGCAATATTCTCTAAATTATTTACCTGATTTACTTATTCAGATAATACGTGTTTATAGACCCTAATTCTTGTTTTAAACAAACATTATTATATACTTGAAGCAAACACTTAAGCTATGTTTTCCCCTTAAACAAATATCCTAAATCTCAAAATACTATGGCATAGGGTAAAGCTCCCAAGATTGGAAAAAGCAAAAGAGATTTTTATACCACTTATTACCAAGCAACTACTGACATGGCATTCTAGATATTTAAACTTCAGTTTTCTCATCGGAGTAATGGAAATAACAATTCCTGTCATACTAACTCAAAGGTGATTATGAGAACCTAATGAGATAATATGCACGGCAAAACTTGGTAAAGAAAAAACAGCATAAAATACATTTGAAAGGAAAAACAGAATATATACTTTGCACTTATAAATATGGCATGTTGATTCTAAGTGATCTAGACTATTCACAAAAGTACCTACTTGATGTGTTCCTCCAAAAAAATGTTTTATAATGATTACAATAGTTTTATAAAAATAAACATACGTAAGACCTCAATAATTATAGGCTGCATCTCACGGCTCAAGAAGCATTTCATGGAATATACACAATACAGATTGGCCAGATTGAAATATTTCAATGGTTAAATAAAAGATAATAGCATGACTCAAACCTGAGGGGGCGTACCTGATAAATGCTGTGGCACTTAAGTATGTTATGTCAAGGAAAAACTGGTCAAGGAGAAACTGTCTTTGAGCTTGAAGGAGACAACGGTTCTACATAAAAGCTTTCAGGGCTGCATTTTCTGAACAACAGAGGCCTTAAGGGCCCTCAGAAGATGAGTCATGCATCACTAAAGCTGGACGCATCAGCTGGCATTCAGAACTAGGAACAAAGTATTTGCAAGTTTAAGCACTCTTCTTAATAGTGTTCCAGTAAATAGCATCTTGCTTTTACCTGTATATAGCCATGTGACTTATTTTTAAAATCTGTTGTTTTGTGCTCTCTAGATTAAGTATTCCATCCTGGACAACAGTGAACATTTTGTAACGGCATGAAATTTCAAAAGCAAAAGGCAAATATCATCTAAACCAGGCTCCCCTACTGCCAAAGAAGACCAGGGTTTACCTACCTTGGGGAGCCTAACTTGTGTGTTATCTTATGCAGGGAAAAAGACCCCACTGGCCTTTGTTAATATCTTTGTGGTGATTCAGCTCAACAGCCAGGAAAGCTTTGTGAAGGTTTAACCTAGATCCTAGATATTTCCTTTCCTTTTGCTCCTTTTAATATGCTACAGGAAGCACAATTCACAGCTGTGAAAACTTCAATACTCTAACTGACCCTACCCAGTCTCGTCTTCAGTAAGTACTCACATTTTCCAGGCAGTGCAAAAACACTAGGCAGAGTCAGACACAGGAGGTACCCAGTGAAAGTAATGCTTCCATAGAGGCCCTGTTTCCAAACTCCTTAATTCATCCTTTCTTATTTTCCTTGAATTATCTAAAATCAATAATAACGATTCCTTTTCCAAAGCTACACAAAGCAAGGATGAACACTGATGCTGGTGACCCTAGATAATCTATTTAACTCCATAAGCCTCTGTTTCTTTTTCTGTAAAAATGGCTGCTCATATTATCTCTTCATCATTCACAGATTTTATGTGCAAAAATAACCTCTCCCTGTCTATAGGAGTATACTGACGACTCCACATTTTATGATATGTGAGCCTTACAATAATCCCTTCAGGTTGACAGAGTCGTTATTCCAATCGCCAGTGAATAGGTGGGAATTTCCGATATTTTCATCTCTAATTTCCTTTCCAGTTCTGATTGACTGCAGTGCAGTTTAATAGAAGAAGAGAAGCTAAGACTGGTGAACTAGCTTCACATGGGCTTCCAAAACAGTCTCCCAAGCCCAACTCTAAATCATTTGGCTTCCAGAGTAAACAACGGAAATATTTTAACAGTAAGGGTCATGGTTCTATTTCTTCTTTCCCTTTGAATTCTGAATTGGCACACTTGCAATAAAAGCAAGCAAACAAATCAGCCAAGTTAAAAATTTGAAAGCATGAGAAAATGATATATCTTTAAAAAGTTAAATCTCAAAAGCAATTTGGGAATTGCATTAAGCTTGTGGTACCATAGCAATCTGTCATATATTTTCTCTTCAACACACTTACTACACTTACCTCCTAAAAGAGGAGTCAAATAATTTTAACTATTTACTGTTGGTTTTACACAAAACAAATATTTGTTTATGTAATTTAACTATAAAATATCATACATTTCCAATAACTTTGTTTTTATGTGTTATACATGCATACATATTTACTCATATAAACAAAGATGTGTATATATAAACAATCAGAATTACCTCATATGTCATCTATATGTGTGTGTATATTGTAAACACATACATATATAAAAATATAAATATATATATCTCAAAGTTTTGTTTATCAAAGACATTCTTATTTACTCATATTATTCAGAACTTAAAGAGTTCATGATGGCAAATATTGAAAATTCATTCATAAAAATGAAAAAATTATAACTTTATAGTGTTACTTAAGTGTAAAAATATTCTAAACCCTTAGTGAAGTACATGCCCTGTAACACATCTTACATACAATCATTTTCCACTATTTATTCCATTCTCAGGTAGTATTAATATAAACACAGGGTTAATGTAATGAAATAGAAACCAAAGTTATTGAATTAAATAATTATATCAGTACAAGACATGTTCATTTTTTTAATATGATCTGCTTGCTTGATAATAATCCCTTCACAAACCTACCTATATCTCAAGGGCATTTTGAGATTAAAACTTAATTTAAAACTTGGTTAAGAAATGCCTTGAACTCCTTAGAGAAAAGGACTTAAGTAAATGAAAGGAAATTATTATAAAAGTCATTCAAAGCAATGCTTTGTAGTTTTGCCCCTAGAGAAAACAAGCAATAGGATTATTTTATTGGGCAAAAAGTAAGTGTGTTTTAATTACATTCACAATGAGTTGTTTTACTATATCTCATTTTATAAAATCATCATATATATACGTGTGTGTGTGTATATATATATATATATTTGCCACTTTGAAATCATTTCTTAAAGTATTAAACCAAGAACTTACATGTATGTAAAATACACACTTACACATGTATATATAGTCCACCAACATCTAAAATCTGTATTTTATATACTATACTGAGTGAAAATATATATGGCAATGTGTAAAACATTCTTTATTTCCATACTCTAAATAAACAAATATATCATTTTAAATATTAAAATAATTGTAGTAATATTTCCATTTCTAAAGTGGGAAGTCATTCAGCCTCATTATGTTATTGCAGTGCTTGTTTCCATGGCAACTCCTTCAACTTCACTATGTTAGTAACCATCAATTCACAGCCCTGGAAGGGCCTGGAAAGTTCGCAATAGAATGCTCTCGCTGTTCAATTAAGAAATTGAAAGCCAGACTCCCAGACTTTTGCTTACCCACTGTCAGCCAGCTAGTTAATGTCAGAGCAGGAAGTATAAGGTGGGTCTTCTGATACTCATCCCAGATTCTTTCAAGTATACTATATTGCCCCCTGCCCCCCAGTGTTCTAAACCAACTGAAACTAATGCACACACACATTCAAACACATGCCATATACACACTATATGTATAAACAGCAGTATACCCAATGGGATTGATTGAATCAAGCTATTTTAAAAGTCAAACAATGCTTTTTATGATTTCTCAGTATTACAAATAAATATATTGTAATTATTTCTATTGGGATAATAATGACAAGACAATTTGTCGGCTGTGGCTATAGGACACCAAAACAATTTCTTTAAAAGGGGAATATCAGTTAATGTTTCAAACTGTTTTACTAGAAATTTCCATTAATTTTAGTGAAGATATCTATTATTCAGGAATTTACAGTTTTAGACAATAAACATCCAAAGATATTAAGAAAATCTTTGACCAGTGATATATAGGAAACTTATTTCATGACTTAAATTTGGTAACCACTGTAAGAATAAGAAATACAAAATGCTATAAGAGAAAATAATTCTCCCATTTAATCAAATTTTATCTTCAAATAACAGATTCTAGAGTCTGAATCTGTGCTGCCCAATGTAGTCACTAGCCCCACTCTTGAGCTCTTGTAACTAGGCAGAATTGAGATTTACTGCAAATGTAAAATATGCAATAATTCAAAGACTCTTCCCCAAAACAGTAATGTAAAAAAATCTCGATTTTTTTTACTGCTTATCCATTGAAATGATATTTATATAACATTAAGTAAAATATTTTATGAAAATTAACATTACCCGTTCCATTTTACTTTTTTAATGTGGCTACTAGAAGTTTTAAAATTACATATGTGGCTTACATTTGTCATTCATGTTGTATTTTTATTGCTCAGCACTGATCTAGACCAGTTGCATGCTAATTCTCCTGTGTGAAATATCTATTTCTTAAATCCAAAAACAATCCTACTCAATCATGACCTTCTCCTTAAACTCTTTTTGGATCTTTTCCTTTAAAGAGTGAGCTCTCTTCTTTAAATTCTAGTAACATCTTTCACCTGACCTCATAATCTCTTCTAATGCCTCTACCTGGATGTAAGTTACTAGCAAGTAAAGTATGTGTGTAGTTTTATGTATGTTTGTCACCTGCAAAACAACCACCATGGAGCTTTTGGAAAGTATCAGTAAAATTTTATTAGACAAGTAAGTGAATAAAAATATATGTAGTAAATGTATTCTTTTTTTCACTTTTACTTAGGTAAAGCTCTCTTGAGAGATCAGAATTTGCAGAAGTAGATCTGTGACTTAGAAGATACGTACCAGCTGACTCTCAGGTACTGTAGAAGATGGTGAGGAGAGATTTGCCTGCAAAACATAAACATGGTGTGTGTTTAGTGAAACTCATAATTTATTAAAATATTTATGTGTTTAAGTATTTTGAAGTTTGCTTAGTATTAAAGAATTATATGTCCATGATAGGATTTTGAAAAGTATAAAGGAAAAGGAAAAATATCATTATGCCACCAAAGAAATGATTTTTAATATTTTTGGTATATTGCCATAAATATTTTTCCTATGTATTTTTATTCAGCCCACATAATAGTGAATATGATGTTTATATGCTGCTTTTCCTTCTCATTTTCTTAACATAAGCATTATAACATGACATCAAAAATTCTTCAAGGTTACATAACATTTCATTCTTTGTATACTTCACATTTTAATCAAACATACCAGTATCATTGCTATTTCTATTTATTTAAAGCAAATTGAAACAAATAACATATATTTCTTTAAAGTATTGTTATATAAAAAGTAAAGCATAACAAAGTTTTATGATTTGAGAATAAAAATGACTTGGTTTTTAGAAATGTTTAAAGAAGAGATAAATATTGTTTCTTTGTCATTGGCTCCTGTATTTCAATCCTTTCATCTGGATTTAGTTTCTTTCATTTTTAAAAATGTTATCTCATTGTCATAAGAACATTTAACATGAAATCTGTAGTCTGAACACGTTTGTAAGTGCACAATACAGTATTGTTGACTATAGGTGCAATGTCGTATGGCAGATCTCTAGAACTTATTCATCTTATTTAGCTGACACTTCATGTTGATTAGTAACTTCCCATTTCCCCCTGCTCCCTAGTTTCCTTCTTACTAAAGTAAAGGTTTTGGTGGTTTTTTCAGATCTTACTGTCTTGGATGTTGTCTGAAAATGTTTTTTATCATGTTCTCATTCTTAAGTGAGAGTCCAACTGGACACACAATTCCAGGGTAATAGCATTTCTGTCTTTTGCAGGTGCTGTGCCACAGACTCTGGCTTTTGTTGTTGTTGGCCTAAATGTTATAACTTGGAGGATCAACTGTCTTCAAATTTGGTTAACATTTAAAGTTTATCTCCGTGACATTCTGTAATTTCACTTTGATATGCCTTGGTATAGATTTCTTTTTATGGTTTTTTGGGGGTCTTGTTATGTTCCTTTATTCTCAGCATGCATATCTTCTGAAAAATCCTACATGACTATCTCTTCAAATGCTGCCATTCTCCCATTTTATCTAATCTCTTGTTATTGAGCTTCTATTAAATATATAATAATGTGCCACACAATGATGTTTCAGTTGATGATGGACCTCATATATGACAGGGTTCCCATAAGGTTATAATGGAGCTAAAACTATTCCTGTCACCTAGTAACATCTTAAGGATCTTGACTCTGTGTAGGCCTAAGCTAATGTGTATGTTTGTGTCTTAGGGTTTAACAAAAAAAGCTTAAAGAGTATAATAAATAAAAAATAAAAGTTTGAAATAGAAAAAATTTATAGAATAAGGGTGTAAAAAATATTTTTGTACAGCTGTATAATGCATTTGTGTTTCAAGCCATGTGTTGCTACAAAAGAATAAAAACGTTTTAAAAATTAAGAAGCTTATAAAATAAAAAATCTACAGTAAGCTAAGGTTTATTGTTGAAGAAAGAAAAAACATAAAGTTAATGTAGTGTACAGTGTTGTCTACAGTAGTGTACAGTAATAACCTTAGTTCTTCACATTCAGTCACCACTAACTCATTGATTCACCCAGAGAAACCTCCAGTCCTGCAAACTCCATTCATGGCAAGTGCACTATACAGATACACAACTTTTTATCTTTTACACTGTATTTTTACCATGCCTTTTCTTTGTTTAGATATATAAATACCATTGTGTTACAATTGCCCACAGTATTCAATACAGTAACGTGCTGCATAGGTTTGTAGCCTAGCAGCAATATGCTAAACCATATAGCCTAGGTGTGTAGTGGGCTATATCATTTAGGTTCACGTATGTACATTTTTTAAAAAAATTTGAGACGGAGTCTCCCTCTGTCACCAGGCTGGAGTGCAGCGGCACAATCGGCTCACTGCGACCTACACCTCTCGGTTTCAAGTGATTCCCCTGCCTCAGCCTCCGGAATAGCTGGGACTACAGGTGCGTGCCACCACACCTGGCTAATTTTTTGTATTTTTTTTAGTAGAGACAGGGTTTCACCATGTTGGCCAAGATGGTCTCAGTATATACACTTTGATGCTCACGTAATGATGAAATCACCTAGTGATGTGTTTTTCAGACCGTCTCTCCACAGTTAAGTGAAACATGACTGTATTTTGGGCCTTCTGAAATCCTCTCCCATTTATCTCAAACTCATTTTTATATTTTTGTCTCTTTATACTGTATTCTGGATGGATTTTGCATATAAGCCTGACAGGTAACTTATTTTTCTTTAACTGCATATTAGTATGTTTAACATGACAATTGAAATTAATGTCTTAATAATTGACTTTTCACTTCTAGAAGTTCTACCTGGGTCTTCTTCAAATCTTGTCTTATAATATCTATAATTCATTGTAATGTTTAACATTTTAAATATATTTATATGACAGTTTTCCAGATTTGTTATAGTCCCCCCTCGTTAAATACCATGTTGCTTATATTTGCTGATTCTCCCTCATGCCTCTCCCTCATGTTCTTCAGTTATTTTGTGTGCTTTTTAATTTTCTATTTTGAGTAATTTTGGTAATTTGGATTTCTTTAGATATCCAAGAAGCCCTGGTTGGGAAACCATCCCTGCAGTACCTTTGCCCTCATTGGACCGTAGGAGTTGCACAGGTTCTGGACCAGTTACCATTTTATTGCCTCATCCTGATTTTCCTATATCTCAAGGTGGCAGATCCCCCACATTATCACATAATCCCCACATTATCATAGGTTTGGAGTCCCATTTTCTCATGGGTGACTTTTTCTTATCACCCAAGAATGTAGAGTAGGGGTTATTTTTTAAATTATCTTTTTTCTCTTTCATGCTTCATAGTCAATACGGCCTTGTAGGTTATAGAATTATGCAATAGATTCCCACATATGTCTTAAACTTGTTACACAGTAAAAGTTATAACCTAAGCTCCTGGGTCCTGGCACCTAGCATCTGATGTACACATGTTCTATGAGAACTTTAGGTTCTTTTTAATATTCTAACCTTGAAATGGTCAGGCTCTGTGTCCCCACCCAAATCTTATCTTGAATTAAAACCTGCATAATCCCCACATGTTGAGGGCAGGAACTGGTGGGAGGTGATTGGATCACGGGGGCAGTTCCCCCATGCTAATCTCATGATGGAGAGTGAGTTCTCGCAAAAGCTGATGGTTTTATAAGGGGTTCTTTGCCCTTTGCCTACATTTCTCTCTCCTGCCACCATGTGAAGAAAGTCCTTGCTTCTCCTTCACTTTCTCCCATGATTGTAAGTTTCCTGAGGTTTCCCCAGCCATGAAGAACTGTGAGTCAAGTAAACCTCTTTTCTTTATAAATTACCCAGTCTCGGGTAGTTCTTTATAGCAGTATGAAAATGGACTAATGCAAACTTGGAAGTCCCACTTCATTTATGGCACCCAGGGATTAGTTATGTTTTATCAAGCATTTCTGCATTTACATGGGAGGCTAAACTTTCATAGCAGCCTAACCTTCCGTTTCGACAGGAACCGGTCAGCATACAGATGAATAATTATAAATATGCTTGGTTAAAGTACAATAAGTTATGTTCCTAAAATATTTCTATTTTTGAAATCGCAAATATTTCAGAGCTTATTTTGATGTATCATTGCATTGTTTTAATCTCTGAGAGATCAACAATAACTGAAAACTGAAAGCCTCATGGTTCCATGTTATCAACAAGTATGAATCACCAAACAATGATAAGGCACATGAAGTCCTTTGTACACAGCGTCTAACATTGTTTGTTTTCTGCGTTTTGACTCATGCCATTCTTACAGGTGCCACTGCTTGCTGCCATTCCTGGCTGCTTGATGGCAGTAGGGTATCTTGGCTAAGTGCTCCACTTATCTAATTGCTGTGGGCCGGGCTAGTGTGCACTGAGGTTTAGGAAAATTGCCCTTCAGAATATCCATCATGGTGTTTTTGTCAGTTCACCTAAGGTTTCATTAAACCTCATAATCGAATACAGGTAATAATAATGATTTCTTCTAAAATATTAGGTTTTTTACTATTTAACAATTTTTTCTTATTGCACTAATGAAGGCATTCTCTATTGATCCCTTAAGTTAAATGAATAGCTTCTGTGAAATATGCTGAATTAAATGCATCATAACTGAAAAAAAATTTTTACCTCAATCATTACAGGTAAGAAGTTACATATTAATAATAAAGTACTCAAACAATTTGTATTACTAATATTTTTCAGTATATTGTACTAAATAATACCAAATTATTATCATAGGGAAAAGGGAGAAAAGGCTCAAACATATTAATTAAATTAGGAAAATATCTAAATATCTTTTTATGGAGTCTCTGTAAGTCCCCCAAATTCCCTCACTGGGAATCATGACATAATAATAAGATGCTTTAGACACCCCTAGACACTTTTATTTCATCCAGTATTATGAACTCTGTATCACTGCTATCAGAAACTTCCCAGAGAAAGTGCAAAATTAAATGCAAACCACGAAGTGGAGCGGATATGCATAATACTAAACAGATTTGTCCTTAGCAAAGAGGAAGAATAGTGACTTATATGTTTTATCACTAAAGTAACCAAGTTTTTTCAATGAAGCCAATTACGTCCAATCTTTTGAGAAGCCACCCTCTGCATGTCTAATGCAGGTTAATGCTGTTTATTGGAAGTTATAGCTATAATTATGTCATTAATATTGTAGCAATTATTTTCCAAAATGTGAGGAGAGATTGTGTGGTGAACTAAGCAGGTGATGGGAAAAGATTGCTACATTTGAAAACCTGCATCACCTGAATAAAGGCGGAGAAGAAACTTGAAATACCTAAAAATAAATTTGAAATTGGATTTGAACAACATTAAAATTTTGGTCA